CCACCCACCCACCCATCTATCCATCCATCCACCCACCCATTAATCCACCCATCCATCCATCCATCTACCCATCCATCCACCCATCCATCCATCCATCCATCCATCTCTCCATTAACCCACCCACTCACCCATCCATCCACCCACTGATCCATCCATCCACCCACCCATACTCCCTCCCTTCATGAATCCACCCACCCTTCCATCATCCATCCATCCATCCATCTATCCATCCATCCATCCATCCATCCATCCATCCATCTACCCATCCATCCATCCATCCATCCACCCATCCATCCATCCACCCACCCATCCATCCATCCACCCACTGATCCATCCATCCATCCACCCACCCGCCCATCTATCCATCCATCCACCCACCCATCCATCCACCCACCCATCCATCCATCCATCCATCCATCCATCCATCCATCCATCCATCAATCCATTAACCCACCCACTCACCCATCCATCCACCCACTGATCCATCCATCCACCCACCCATACTCCCTCCCTTCATGAATCCACCCACCCTTCCATCATCCATCCATCCATCCATCCATCCATCCATCCATCTACCCATCCATCCATCCACCCATCCATCCATCCATCCATCCATCCATTAACCCACCCACTCACCCATCCATCCACCCACTGATCCATCCATCCACCCACCCATACTCCCTCCCTTCATGAATCCACCCACCCTTCCATCCTCCATCCATCCATCTACCCATCCATCCATCCATCCATCCATCTATCCATCCATCCACCCACTGATCCATCCATCCATCCATCCACCCACCCACCCACCCATTCATCCACCCACCCATTCATCCATCCACCCATCCAACCATCCATCCATCAATCCCTCCACTAACCTACCCACTCACCTATCCATCCACCCACCATTCATCCATCCAACCAACTAATTGATTTATCATCCATTGGCTTATCTATCATCCATCCACCCACCCACCCACCATCCATCCATCCATTTACCCACCCATGTATCCACTCATTCACCCATCCACCCATCCATCAACCTGCCCACCCGGTCTTCCATCCATCCATCCATCCATCCAGCCATCCATCCGTCCATCCATCCATCCATCCATCCATCCATCCATCCACCCGCCGTGTGTCCATCCCTGACCTGCCCATCCCTCCGTCTGCATTTGTTTGCCTCATGCTATCCTTCCCGTAACCCTCCCACACCCGCATCCACAGGGAACTGTAGCCGCCCCACTCCCACCTGGCTTCCTGCGTGGCCACGCATCCTTCTCCCATTACACCCGTCCCCTCACCACCCTCCTGCCCGCCTTGCACTCCCCTGCGAAACATGCAGATGCCCCCCCCCCCCACCTGTGCAGGCACCCTTGTTCATCTAGTAGTCATCCCGCCCACACGGTCCCGCCTCTCTGCCTCCTTCTCCGTCGTCTCACTCACCCCACCCACGTGCCCGGCTCTGCCATTCAGGACTCGGGGGAGCCTTGGGTGGGCTGAGGTGAGGGCATCTGAGGGGAGCCTGCATGGGGATGAAGGGGTCTTCGGGGGCAGGGGGCCCTGGGGAGGGCAGTGCTGCTGGCAGGGGAGCGAGGGACTGAGGCTTCAGCACCCCCTCCCGGCAGGTGGCTTGACCCCTGCAGCCCCCCACGGCTTCGGCCGCTCTCAGCCCTGTGCTTTCTGTTTGTCCTGGACTGGCAGGAACATGCTCTTTCCCGCTGCTTTGTTGGCCCTTTATTGTTTGGGGGCCACACCCAGGCTCCCCCTGACTCTGCTCTAGGGAGGCTCGGAGGCCCTGTGCGATGCTGGGATCAAACCTGGGTTGGCTGCATGCAAGGCGAGTGCCTGCCCCTCTGTGCTGTCTCCACACCCATCTCTGCAGGTTGGCATTTTGTTTTGGTGGGTGCGGCCGCCCCATGGTGCTCCGGGGCGACTCCTGGCTCTCTGCTCAGGGACCACTCTCGACAGTGCTTAGGGACCATGTCGGACGCCAGGGATGGAACCCAGGTCAGCTGTGTGCAGGCAGTTATCCTATGTGCTGCACTATCACTGTGGGCCCTGGGTTTTGGGGTTTTTTTCTGGGTGTGGGGGAGATTCTTTTTTGTTTGGGGGGCACACCTGGCAGTGCATGGGGGCTCTTCGAGGTTTTCTCTGCTTGTGACCCTGCCACCTGCATCAGCCTCGTCCATACCCAGGAGGCCTTTGTGAAGGTCACTTGGGAGAGAAGGTGGCCCTGGTGGGGGGCATTGCTCCTGCAGAGTCCCCCCTCTGGTGGGACCCCCCAGACCTGGACAGTGCTGTCCCTTAATGGTACCCACGGCAGAGGTGTGGGCGGACAGCAGGCTTCGGGGGCAGCTGGCCTTCAGGAGTGGCTGGCTCCCGGCGACCACAGCGCCTCAGCTGCTGGTCTCTCTCCTGGGTGCGTCCTGCCCGCCGCGTCCTGCCCACCTGACTTGGTGCTCTCCGGAGGCTTTGCACGCCGGCCAGCCTGCTCATAGAGAGGAAGCTGCTTGCCAGGGAGAGGTAGCTGCACCCTGGGGTGACTCTATACACAGCCAGGCGCAGAGGCCAGGGCTGGGCCCCAGAGTGAGGAGAGTGAGGGGCGCTCCCCAGACAAGCCTGGCGGTGAGCCTGCCGCCCCTGGCCTTGCACAGTGCCTGCCCTGGCGCTGCCGTCAGAGTGGGGCTCAGGGCGGGGGAGGCAGAGGGGGTCTCCGGCCCCCGCATGGAGGGGCAGGACCCCTCCCCCCGCGAGACCCCGCCTTGAGCCGCACAGGGCCGGTTTGTTCCCTCCGAGGTTTCCGCGCCCCAGAGCACAAGTGACCACTGTCTTTGCTCCCCAGGGTGTGGGCCGAGGCGCTGGGCCCGCCGGCCAGCCTGGAGGACCGGGGGCTCCCCACAGCCCTGTGCGCGGGGACTCAGACGTCAGCGGCCACAGACGGGCTCTGTTCTCTCCGGCTCAGCCCGCCCGGCCACCCACGGCCCCCCAGACCCCGCCCTCTCCCACCTGCCCAGAGTTGAGAGGGGGTACGGGGGGGGGGTGGCCCCCGAGGCAGAGACCGCAACCCTCCCTGCCTGGGAGCCACAGGGTAGAGCTCCCCCCCACCCAGCCCTGTTGCTTAGCTGCTGTGTGACCCACACAAGGACCTTCCGTCTCCAAGCCTTTGCTTCCACACAGACCAGGGAGCCGCCTTACAAAATATTTTGTTGGGGCCTGAGCCACAGTACAGCAGGGAGGGCGTTTGCCTTGCACAGGGCCAACCCGGGTTCGATCGCCGGCATCCCATAGGGTCTCTCTGTGCACTGCCAGGAGTGATTCCTGAGGGCGGAGCTGGGAGTAACCCCTGAGCATCGCCGGGTGTGGCCCCCAAAGCAAAAATAAAATAAATAAAATAAATTTTGTTTGGGGGCCACACCCGGTAGTGCTCAGACCTCTCCTCTGTGGTGCCAGGGACGGAACCCCGGGGAGCGTGTGTCAGGAGAGCACCTCACCCCTGCGCCGTCTAGTCTGGTCCTGATCCTGAGGGGGTGCGAGAGGGTCGGGACACACCTGACAGTGCTCGGGGCCTGTTCCTCGGGAACCCTGTGGGGACTGGGGATGGAACCCGGGCTGGCCACGTGCACGGCAGGCGCCTGCCCGCTGGCCTCTTGCTCCGGCCCCTGCTGCCATTTCATTTTCCCCTTGGGCCTCCCAGGCAGTGCTCAGGGACCCAGGGGCCACTCCCGGCTGTACCTACCTGGCAGTGCAGGGGGATGGGTGCGTGTGTTGCTAGGGGTCGAACCCGGGGCCTTGTCCCCGCCGGTGTGAGCTCTCCTGCATTGGCACCCCTAAATGAAGCTTTCATTGGCAGTTCCATGGTGGGGGTTCCCTTGGGGGCATGACAGGCAAGCAGGGCGGTGAATGTGGGGTTGGTGCCCATCCCCCTCATCACCCCGCCATTGTTTCTTCGAGCCCACCTGGCAGCAGAGGCCCCACAGGCCCAGACTGGGGAAGGGATCGCAGGGCAGGAGGGCACTGGACACTGGATGAAGAGTGTCCAGGAAGGGCAGTTCCGGGCCAGCCAGCAGGGACTCCCTGACCCAACACATCCGCTTTATTATTTATTTATTTTGCTTTTTGGGTCACACCCGGCGATGCTCCTGACTCTGCACTCAGGAATTACTCCTGACAGTGCTCAGGGGACCCTAGGGGATGCTGGGAATCGAACCCGGGTCGGCCGCGTGCAAGGCAAACGCCCTCCCCGCTGTGCTATTGCTCCAGCCCCCATGCTTTAGTTTTGCTTTTGACTTGGGGCCGCAGCTGATGGTGCTCAGGGCTGACTCCTGGCTCTGTGCTCAGAGATCCCTCCTGCCAGGGTGCCGGGGGTCAAATCTGGCCAGCCTTGTGCAAGGCCCGTGCCTGGCCCGCTGTTCTCTCTCTAATGGAGCCAGGGCGTGTCCACGCCACATGTGTCCAGCTGTTCCCAACTCTCCCAGGGTCTGGGGCTGACCTCCGAGAGTTTCCACTACTCCCTGGGCCTTGCGTGTTTCCTGCCGGAAGGAGGAGCCCTGAGAGGGTTCCCGTTGGGGGTTTCAGCTCCAGCCCCTTTGTCGCCCTGCTGTGTCCACCCCCCTCCCCCCCAAATTTCCTCTCAACACCAGCTTCCAGGGCCTGCACGACCTCTGGGTCATTCTTGTTTATTTTGGGGCCACACCTCGCTGGGCACAGAGCGGACTCTCCTGACAGTGCTCAGGGCACTCTGTGGGGCGAGTCCCCACCCCACCCCCTCGCGATCTCTCTCTCTCCCTCTTGCCTTTTTTTGGGGGGGATCACACCCGGCGATGCACAGGGGTTACTCCTGGCTCTGTACTCAGGAGTTACTCCTGGCGGTGCTCAGGGGACCATATGGGATGCTGGGAATCGAACCCGGGTCGGCCGCGTGCAAGGCAAACGCCCTCCCCGCTGTGCTGTCGCTCCAGCTCCTCCCTCTCGCCTTGACGGTCCCCTTCGCCTTGCAGGCTAAGAACAAGGAGACGGGCACGCTGGCGGCTGCCAAGGTCATCGAGACGAAGAGCGAGGAGGAGCTGGAGGACTACATGGTGGAGATCGAGATCCTGGCCACGTGTGAGCACCCCTACATCGTGCGGCTGCTGGGGGCCTACTACTACGAGAGCAAGCTGTGGGTGAGTGAGCGCCCCCCGACCCCACCCTGCACGCCCTGTGACTTGGAAGAGCATCTCCAGGTCTCCGGCCCAGCGTGGCTGCTTCTGGGTCGGAAACGCCCAGGCCCGTGCCTCAGTTTCTCCATCTGTCAGGCGGGGCCCGGGGATCAGGGTTTTTACCCAGGTGCCGGCTGCTTTCTGCTCTGTGGGGGCGGCCAGCCCCGTGACTCCACCTGTGCTGGCAGCCGGGGCTCCTTCAAAGACTGTTGAAGAGTCTTTTTTTTTGTCTTTTTTTATTTTATTTTATTATTATTTTTTTTTGTGTGTGTCTTCATCCACGAGTTTAGATTTTCGTCTTCTTTCCTTTAGTTTTGGAACCACTCTTGGTGGTGCTCAGGGCTTCCTCACTCCCTAGTCTCAGCTCAGGGGTCCCTCCAGGCAGGACTTGGGGGACCATCAGGGACGTTGGGGATCGAGCCCCGGGGCAGCCGCCCGCAACTCAAGCGCCCTCCCCACTGTCCCGTCACTCAGGCCCCTCTCGACCTTGTATGAGGAAGCTCTCGATGCAGCCGCAGCTCCGAGCCCCCCCTCCCAAGCCTTGTGTCACCCCCAGCCCCTCTGGAGGTACTCAGCGTGCCCTGTGCCCCATTTTCTTGGGCGACCCAGCCTGTATGTAGCAAGGCCTCACCTGCTGCTGTCTCAGTGCTCGGCCCCTGGTGTAGACGGAGCCTCCGACAGCAGCTGTGCTTCTGCCTCCAGCCCCCAGACTCAGCTTTCATGGCCGAGCACTGCCAGGGGAGCCTTGTGCCCTATAGAGGCCGCAGGAAAGGCCCAACAGGGCTGGCATCACATGGATCCTGGTGATGGGGGCCGGTGGGCCCCTCCGCAGAGTTTCCTGCACTGTACGACTGGTTTGTTACTAACCAGGAACCCGGCAGGGACTAAGGTGGCTGCAGTGATGTACGGGCGGGCACAGTTTTCCCCCCTGGGGCTGGAGATGTGTCTCCAGTGGTGGCTGGATCCTGGCACTGCAGGGCCCCCACAGCACCATAGGAGTAAGTCCTGAGCACTGAGCTGAGAGTAGTTCCTGAGCAGTGCTGGGTCTGAGTGTGACCCGTCCCCACTCCCCCCCTCAAAAAAAAATCCATAAAAATAGAAATGTTCCCACTAATAAGTTGCTGGTGAGCTTTTTGTGAACTGGCAGGCCTGAGTTTGCGGGTGCTGGTAGGGGGGTTGGGTGATACCCAGCAGTGCTCAGGGCTTACTCCTGGCTTTGTGCTCAGGGGTCACTCCTGGTGATGTCGGTGGGGACCTGTGCAGTGCCAGGTATTGAACCAGGGTTGGGGGCTGGAGAGAGTCCAGTGGGGAGAGCGATTTGGCCTGCACGTGACCAGCCGGACTCCCATCCCTGGCACCCCGTATGGTTCCCCGAGAACTGCGAGGAATAACTCCTGAGTGCAGAGCCGGGAGCGAGTAGCCCCTGAGGATTGCCAGGTGTGGCCCACCAACCCACAGACAGGAAAAAGAAAAATGAACCCGGGCAGGCTGCATTCAAGGCAAGAGTCCTACCTGGTTTGTTTTTTTTTTTTAGGCGCAGACTCTGATGCTTCCCAGGGGGACAAAATGTGTTTCCCGCCTGTGTTTGCTGAGACCCGCAGGGCAAACGGGGCTGAGGGGGTGGCCCAGTGCTTAGAGTACTTGCTTTGCAAGTGTGAGGCCATGGGTTCGATTCCCGGCACCGCTGTTGAAATGAAACAAAACCAAGCTAGGAGCTGCCTGGTAGAGCTGGCCTTCATTGCAGAGACACAGGAAGCCCCGAGTTGAGGAAAATGAGAACCGGGACCCCTCCCTCTAAAGTGGCGAGTCCTCCCGCTCCAGGCCGACTTCCTCTCTGGGGAGCCCCTAAGGGACGTCCCTCCAGCCCCCTAGTCAGCTGTGGATTTCCAGACCTTCCCCCTCTGCTGTGTCCAGGCCCCTTGGGGCCGAGCAGACCCGAGGATGGACAGGTGGGAGCGGGCAGAGACGGGCAGAGATGGGCAGGCGGCCCCCAGCTCACGCCCCACGCTGGCACTGCTCTGATTCATGAAGTTGCTTTTTTAAGGAAGTTTCTTCATCTTCCCTCCCCCTTTTTTGGGCCGTGCCCACATTGCTCAGGGCTTGCTCCCGGCCTGGTGCCAGGGACGGCTCCCAGCCGGCTGCACGCGGCCCCTGGCCAGGAGCTGCTGCTTTTAAGAAATGGAGCGAGTCCTGGCACCACCTGGCCCCCGCAGCGCCGCCGGGAGGGGTCCTCGGAGCTCAGGAATTGGGTGTAACTTCTGAGCACGGCTCCGTATAACCCAAACCCTTCCGCTTGGCCAAAAAAAAAAAAATTCAATATTTTGTATACGATTATTAGGGAAAGACGAAAATCAAGTGCAAGAAAGCACAAGCGGTGAAGTAAACGGGAGATGAATACGGCGAGTTAGATAAACTTGATGAGGCGGGGAGTGTTTGGGCGGGAGCACGAGACCCTTCCCTTGCATGGGCCAGCCCGGCCCAGCCTCCTGCCCACAGAGCCAGGAGTGTAGCCCCTGAACTGGGTGTCCCTCGCACCCCTCAGCCCCTGGAATTCTCCACGCCAGGGCCTGCTTCCTGAGGCCTCCCAAATAGGAACACTCGGAGTATGTTTCTCTAGATTTTTTTTGCTTTTGGGGTCACACCTGGCAATTCTCAGGGGTTCCTCCTGGCTCTGCAACTCAGGAATTACTCCTGGCGGTGCTGGGGGGACCCTATGGGATGCTGGGATCGAACCCGGGACGGCCGTGTGCAAGGCAAACGCCCTCCCCGCCGTGCTATGGCTCCAGCCCCCTTTCTAGCTGTTTTATTACACGCACAGGCCCCCCGGGGTCGGAAGGAAGAGTCCGGCCTCTCCCGGCCTCTTCCCTGCTGCTTTGTCCCTTCGGTTGCACCCGTGGCCACCGCCACTAGCTTTGCCAGCATGCGGGAAGCACCTGCAACTCTATTTTTTATTCACGGATCCGATTTCTCCTCTGGACTCGGCCGTTGACCATTGTTGAGGGCTGGGCCGCTTCCTCTTTTCTCCCTTTCCTGCCGGCGACAAACAGGCTAGCCACGGCTGGGCTCAGCATTGTGCCTGGACTCCCCCAAGAGCTCTGAGAACCCCCGTCGGATTTTTAGGATTTCTCAGTGCTGGCTGCCAGGCTGACCTCACAGAGCCGCCTTTGAATCCAACAAAGGGGCCGCCCCGTCCACCGCCTCCACCCCATGCCCACCCGGTCACTCATCTGCCCGTCCACCCTCCTACCTTCCCGGCCCAGAAGCAGCTCGACTTCCTTTATTTCGAGGGTTCCGGATTTCACCAAAGATTTGTCACCACTGCATAATTGTTACCCCCTGTTTTTAAGGCGTATGGTACAATTGTAGCACTGTCCTCCCGTTGTTCATCAGTTTGCTCGAGCGGGCACCAGGAACATCTCCATTGTGAGACTTGTTGTTACTGTTTTTGGCATATCAAATATGCCAAGGGGAGCTTGCCAGGCTCTGCCGTGCGGGCGGGATACTCTTGGTAGCTTGCTGGGCTCTCTGATGAGGGACAGAGGAATCGAACCAGGATTGGCTGCGTGCAAGGCAAATGCCCTACCCACTGTGCTATGTGCTAAGCAACCTACCTGCTGTGCTATCACTCCAGCGATCGCTCCATCTTTTTTAATGGTACAATTAAAAAAATTAGAAATACTTAGCATAAGGTCACCACGCCACTAAGGAAACACTGCCTTTCACATTTCAGAATTCTCCAGGTGGGGGGCCGGAGTGATCAGACAGTGAAGAGGGGGCTGGCCCTGCCCGCAGCCGGCCTGGGTTTGATCCCCGGCACCCCATAGGGTCCCCCGAGTCCCACCAGGAGCCAGCCCTGAGCACAGAGTCAGGAGTCAGCCCTGAGCACTGCCAGGTGTGATCCCCACACCAAAAATTAGTAAATAGACATACTCTCTTAGGTTCAGAGCCTTTCACCAGGTGACAGGGCTTGGCCTGTGTGACCTGCGAACTCAGACTCACCTGGGACATGTCCCTGGAGGGCATGGATCTCTGGTATTTGTGACGAGGGGAACTAGTCTCCTGTCACAGGGCAGGAGGCGCCAGGCTCAGTGATGGATCCAGGACGGTTCCCCTCGCCCACCCTGAGTACTCACGGCCTAGCTGTACTTTCTCCACAGGTCCTGTTGTGCTTTGTGGAGCACCTCAGTTCCTCAGGGGGGTGGGCGACCAGTGTGGGTGCCTGATGCGACCAGGCCCACCCGCCTTCCTGTCGCCAGTGGCCCTTTGCCTCCTGGTCATTTTGCCTCTGAGAACCGTGAATTGACCGCTGAGCCCAGCTCCTTGCGTGGTTGTGTGACCCGCTCAGGTCAGGACGTAGACCCCTTAGGCTGGGACTGTGACATTTGTGGACATTTGCTGGCGGTGTTCGGTCCAGAGGGTGGCATGTGACTGGCCCTCCCATTTTTCTAGAATGGTCTGGGGATACGGTGGCATGCCTTGGGAGTCGGGGTGGGGTGGGGTGAGAGGGCTCTCCAGTTAGCCGCAGGCCTCACTGCTCCCTAATGCCTCCCCACGTGCCCAGAGCCGTGGGCGTGTCTCTCTGCATCAAGCAGAACTTTGGGGCTGTGGTTTTCGCCCACGGGTCTGTCCACAGAGAAAAGGAACGATGACCCAGAGGGCACGGTTTCCACACAGCGTGTGAGGCACTGCAGTGCCTGTGCCCCTGGAGTGAACTGCCTGACATGGCGCCCTCAGAGCCTAGACTTGGCCTCGGGGGTCCAAGGAGGAAAAGGAGGGGGACACTCACGCAGGGCCTGTGACCAGCCAGGACATGAACGCTGAGATGCGTGTGTGACCTGGTGTAGAGTGTGCGTGAGAGAGAGAGAGAGAGAGAGAGAGAGAGAGAGAGAGAGAGAGAGAGATACAGAGAGGGCCTAAGAGTGTGAGGAGTTGTGTGAGTGTGGGTGTGAGAATGAGCGTGGAAC